GTACGGGACGTTCGTCAGTTTCCTGTCTGTGTGGATGCACCCGAAACGGGGACGGACGTCCATCAGGTGCATCGACGTTCCTTGCGGCACGTATTCAGAAGAGGGCGAATCGGCAGCGACTTTACCGATGCCTTCGCTTCCCGTTTTGTTGAGTATCCGGATTCCCAGCTCAGCTCTGTCGCAGAACTCGGCTGAACCGAAGTCAACGAGTCTGAAGCGGTTGTCGACCCTGCTGTACGTCAAGTTATTCGGGGTGATGTCGTTGTGCACCACGCCCGATTTGGCGAGGAAAGTCAGAGCCTCGCACAGGTGCAGCGCCAGCTTACTGACGCACGGAATTATCCCGTGACCGTATCTCAACTTTTGCAGATCGCATCCTTCGTTCGTCATCGTTATGGATGCGACGACGTTGCATTCGCACAGGAACAGCGCCTCGAGATCTCGTCGCTGACGCCAGCTTTCGACGCGTACGACGAGGCGGTGCGCGTCACGCAGCACGTCAGGCACAGCATCCCGTACATGCACGCCTCCTCGTTCGACGGCGTGACCGCCGAGATGGCCAGCAGGCAGAACGAAGGTTACGTCACCAGTCTCTCCACCTTTCCGTTGGTGCTGGCTTCCGTCGACCCGAAGGACGCCGACGGTGCCAACCGCCGTCCGCCGACTGGCGCCAAGAAGGGCACGACGTACTTCGAGAACGTCGTTGTCGTGAACGGGAGAAACGTCGAGTGGAATCGTTCGTCCGATTGCTTTTCTCGATTCCTGACGTGCGCCAGGATCCTGCTGTGCTCCCACCCGAGATCCGACTTCGTGAGAAGTCCGTTTCGCAGTTGGACGCCGATCGTCGACGTCTTCGCAGAATTGCTCTTCGATCGGGAGGGACGGACCTTCGCCGAAGACTCCACGGACGATAGCGAAGATCGGCAGTCGTCCTCGCAACCGCCGCCTCCACCTCGGCCGAGATCGTTTCCGTGCAAACTGCCCAAACCGTTTCGGGAGAGCTCCCGAAGTTTCGTCAACGAATTCGACAACGATTGCGACGAGATCGAAGTGCGCTTTCGGATAGTCAACCCGTCGGACGTCGGACCGTACTTCC